AATAGTAAATTTCAGTGAAGACTAGTAAGTTAGGTAAGCTTTTGTGAACATTTTGGTCATTCAACCTCATAAATTGTGGTTGACTAACCTGCTAAGTTTCAACTGTTAATTGCAATGTATAATATAAAATTGCACAAGATTTTACAAAATTTTTGGTCATTCAACCTCATAAATTATGGATGACTAACTAGTTAAGTTTCAACTATTAATTGCAATGACAATTAGTAAGTTAGATAAGCTTTTGTGAAAATTTTGGTCATTCAGCCTCATAAATTTTAGGTGACTAAAGACCTAAGCTTCACATTTTCACAAAATGAAAACTAGAATGTTACCTAAAAAGCATCAGATTTTAGATAATTTCACTTCATAACTTTGGTAGACTACTTAAGCTTCATCTTTTAATTGCCATGGAGTAGTATGTTTCATAAACTGTCATAAAATTTTTATTCATTCAATCTCATCAATTTTGGAGGGTAAACTATCTAAAGTTCAACTTGTAACAGAAATTAAGACTAGCATATTTTTTAAATCTTCACCAAGGTTTAGATCATTTAACCTCATAACCTTGGAAGGAAAACTACCAAAGCTGTGAACTGCAACAAAGACTAGTATGTTTCATAAACTTTCCTGAAAATTGTGGTCATTCAACCTCATTAATTTTAGATGCCTAAAAACCTAATGTTTATATTTTAAGGCAATTAAAACTGTACATTATATAAGCTTTCATGAAAGTTTATTTCATTTAATATCACAACATAGAGTGTAGGACATTAAATAATAAGGTTGGGAGGTACCTTGGAGATCTTGTTGTCCAACCTCCTATCTATGGCAGGAGATGCTAGACTGTTCCAGACAAATGGCTGTCTAATCTCTTCTTGAATATCTGCAGTGATGGAGCCTGACTCAGGCTTTTATTAAAGAAAAAAGAGTTACTTTCACTTAATTAGGTTTTAGTGAAACAGTTTCTAAAAACAGTTTAGACAGATTAGAATTTTTTATCTGACTGGGAGAGGGAGAGGAACATAAAGTTACGGAGTTTTCACCTTGATCTGCCCTTGTATCAAATGAAACAAAAGACAAAAGAAAAACACACACAAATATTAGGATAATGTCCAGTCAGTCAACATAGAATGTAGCCAGATGTGGCTTGGCAATCCCTTATCAAAGAGCAGATAAAATGTTCTTGAGAGCTGGCCTTGAAAAGACAACCTTTACAGTACTCTGGATAGAAAGCTGAACCTTGCCTCTTTCATTATCTTCAGAAGATAAATCTTCTAAAAACAAATCGTGTCAAGTAGTAGGTTTTGTCTACATGTTTATTTTTTAAAGTGAGAGGGTGATGGAGAAAGTCAGAAATCTTCTCCTTGATCTCAAAAAGCTGACTGAAACCCAAAGGGGACCAAAAAAGACCCAGTCCATATACCGCTTCCTGCAAAACACCTGGAAATGGAGTTAAATTAGAAGCAAGGGACTTAAAAGTTTATAAAAAAGAAAAGGTACTTTTCTTATAATTGATTTTTTTTGTCAAGAAATGTATGCTGTTTTCAAAATAGTAGCCACTTCTCCAATTAGCACTTTTCATCTATGTAAGTTTTTAAATATATATATATATATGTGTGTGTATATATTGAAGCAGAAAAGTGGAAGTCAAGGTATCTTCACAATATAAGCTGGGGAAAACAGTTGAATGCTTTAATGTTGAAATACAGAGACATAATTTAGTATTACAACACATTCCAAAGAATCTTTCCAGGGAATAAACCTTGAAACTCTCATCCAACATGTCTACTATGACCACAAGATATTGGTGTCTGTTCATTTGCTTAGGGGTCTTCTTCACTGAAATTTCATCCCAGAACTGCAACCAACTTCGCAGCAGGCTACATGAAGCCAACCTGCGCAACCTGATTCTCCCAATGAGAAATATGGGATCAACCATTCCCCAACAATGTATCAGGGACATAATTGATTTCTCCCTTGATAGCAGTGAAGAAAATTTGATGAACATGATTAATGAATTACAGGGGGAGAACGCCAAGGTAGCTATCAAAGAACTTCTCCAACAGATAGACCTCATCTTCAAGGAAAGCCATAGTGAATTGGCTTGGGATGAGAATTCACTAAGAGAATTCCACATTGGACTGCATCAGGAGATAAAGAACACAAGAGCTTGCTGGAATACTGAGGTGAAACGTGGCACCAAATCTCGAAGAGGTCAGAAACTACAGTTCACCAGGCTGAGAGTGAAAAGATATTTTCAGAGACTCAGAGGCTTCTTGAAAAATAAAGAGTACAATCTGTGTGCCTGGAAGATTATGCAGATCCAAATCAGAGAATGTTTTGAGTGGATTAACCATCTCAATCAAAGGATTCCAAGTGAAGGTACTTAGATAATCACTCCAAATTGAATATTTCTAGCATACAGCGCAGTTCTTTTAATAAACTCAGTGAAAGGTTTTCATCATTTTGATTTATTTTAAGAGGCAAAATTTAATGCTACTCCATTTTGCTACATGTTTTTTTTAAAAAATAGAGATATATCCAGAATGCCAGCACTGTAATTTAAAATTTAAAAATAATTTAAAACTGGAATAGAATCTTTCCTTTTTCTGAGTGGTATGCATATGTTAAAAATGTTCAGTTCAAAAATGGAAAATGTTTTATAACTATAATAATTGTAAAAACTCAACAAGGAGTTTTAATTACTTCTCTTTTTAGTTCTAGGTTGATATGCTCCCAGTGATGCAACAAAAGCAGGAAAATGAAATCGTTCATCTTTCACTAATGCCTTTGACGTGTCTTTAGAAAATACAAAATACTTCTTTTTTTGTATTGTTTTACCCACTTCTTGAATTCTTTTACTTGAGTAAAAATGGAAGTCAAAACGGCAGAATCTCTATAAAATATCCACCTAGCAGATATTGAAAAACATTATTTCCACCTTCTGAAACCTTCTGAAGCTTCATTGGAGGAATATCCCATGCTTATAAGATTTCCATCATGAAATATGTTTCCTTTCCTTTCCTTTTCCTTTAATTATGTTTTGTGTTGTGATGATTAAGACAAGATACTTAAAAGTAGTTCATATTGAAACCAAAGTTTAAGACTTTTGGACTTCAATTCCCCATGCTGACTGGGGAACAAGTCTTAAAGTTGCCAAGGTTGGACAACCCTGGCTTAGAACATTCTCTGAATGCCTCAAGAATTTTCTTTCCTTGGCAAGAAATCCCCACCAAACCAATTTTCTTGAAATAAAATAGATGAAAAATATTCTAGCTTGTTTACCTAGACATCCAGTTTTCCATGGAAGCATAAGATTTTTTGATATTCAAAGATCAGAGACTGTAACACTTATGATATATGTGTGCATATCTAAAAAGAGCTAAATATAATGTTGCTGTATTTTTTTCCATTGTTAACAGCAATCATAAAATATTATGAATGTTGTGTAACCTGAAATCTGATATATATGTTGCTTATGAATATTGATTTAATTTTGTATTATTCATATTGTATATTTTTGTTAGCTTTATTTATTTTGAATTTACTATTTATTAAAAATGGTAGCCATATTGTTAATTTGTATTATTCCATGCATTTGGGAAGTATTGTGTTGAGTGACCCTTTTTTTGGACTGCAATTACAGAATTTACACAAGTTGGTGCATATTTATATGGAAGTTGGTGTCTGATGATAGCTTATTAATTTAACTTACCATTAAATGTTTTTAAAGCAGTGGAAAGCATAAAAAACTAACAAATCTGGCCAATAAATAACATTCCAAATATTTTCCCCTTTATTTTATATGATCTAGACTAGGAAATATTATGCACATAATCTGCTTTTACAATTCTTTTGCTCAAACTAAATGTGATTATGTTCCTGCAATCACTAATTCACAAAATAGATTTTAGGCCCAAATGATATACGACTATAGAGTACAGAGTAATTTATTCTTGGTCAATTTTATACACATTTCTTTATTACAAACAGGAATTTTTTAAAAAAACCCAGTCAAAACATCATGGCAGAAATTATTATTCCTCTTTCTGAAGGTTCTCGAAAATTTATGTTAAGAACTTCTTGCCTGTAGCTCAAAATGTTCTTTTTATGTAAATTATTCCAACACAAATGGGAAACTTTAAACATTTTTCTGTATTCCAACTTAACTATCAATTAGAGATACAATGGACAGAATTGAATTCCACTACAAAGACACCAACAGTCCTTCCCAGAAAGCAAAATACTTACTATCTCATAACATATTTCATGGGTTTCTAAATAATCCATTCAATTAAAATTAGTGAACTGCAATCTGAAATACAATTTACTCTGAGAAGCACAGAGCTGAAGACACAAGCCTGAAGATGATGAATGAGACTTCATCGAAATGTCACCTAGACACTTCCAATTCTACGCGGGAGAAAACCCGAATAACCAAAGATCCACACACACGTGTGTGTGTGTGTGTGTGTGTGTGTGTATCCTATATATATCCTATATATAATATTTTGTAAATATTATTTTCATATCTGACCTTTTCTGAAGCTACTATTGCTACAGCACTAAATTCGGCCATCTTCATTGAGCTTTTGTGTCCTTGTTTGATTAATAAAGGACATAAAAAGTGTGTGGGAAATGATTCTGTGATTAGAGAAGGGATTAACCATGTCTTCCAAGATTGATGCACAGGGCTTCTCAACATTCTGAATTGCAAAATTCTATCACTATGATTAGTCTCAATATAAGTAGTCTTAGCCCTCTGGTGGAGTTGACCTGGACTCAACCTGCTGGAGACAGAGGGGAGGAAGGAGAGAGAGGTGGGGGAGGGAGGAAGGGAGGGAGAGAAAGAGAGAGAGAGATTTAAAGAGATGCACAATATGTCTAATCTTGCCAGTGTTTATTTAGCTCCTCTTGTGAACAAAGTTTTTGATACCCAATATTCTGTATTTTAATGTTTCTTTCTTTGTTGTGTGTGTGTACACACTAATAAATTCTGTAAAATAAACCTTCAGGCAAAATGTGATTTGTTTGGTTGCCCTTGGAACAAAGTGTGAGACACGCTGATTTGTGAACTATGGTTGTGACAGAATGTGCAGCATAAGTATTTATATTGTGCATCTGTTATGTGTGGATGGGAAGGAATAGGTCCAGCTCCAACACCCTATCTGCCAGCACTGCTTATTAAGATGGAGAAAGCTTGTCTCCATTCATAAAATAAAATTGGTTTCCTTAACCAATTAAGATGGAGGTATAATAATATATCTGATCAATCCCAAAAGTCAGGAAAGTAATAAACCCAAGGCGCTGAAGATCGCTCAAGGTGCTAAGATCACTGGCAGACGGAGATAGACTACAGAAAGCAAACCTTTCACCTCTAATTGAGAATATCGGAGGTATGTTGTCTCCCGCAACTTTAGATAAACCAAAGAAAGTAATAATTCGAAGCTCTAGTAGGTGGCGGTAGAAAAAGCACAGACAAGCAGCAATCTATCGCTGCAGCCAATCCACATTGAAAAGGCATGGGAATTCAACACCAATGCCCATGCCTCTGAAGGATAATAAAGAAATAAAATCCCATGAAGGATTTGGGAGTGAAATTTGTGTGTTTGTGTGTGTGTGTGAAATGTGTGTGATTAGATGAAGAGAGAGAGAGAGAGACTGAGTGGAGAAGGGAGGTGAGAATTCTGTGTAATTTAACCTCCCTTCTTTTGCACAGGGATTTTTTTTTCTTTTTACCTTGGAGGTTGAAGAGAGAAGCAGGGGAGGGAGAACTACCTCCCTTCTCATTTTAACTATCCCCCCCCCCTTCTCCCTCTCTGCAGAGCCAGCCTGAGAAAGGCGGGGTAAAGGTTTTTAGAAGTTTTAGAATAACAGAGCTGGAAGGGACCTTGGAGGTCTTCTAGTCTGCTTAGGCAGAAAACCTATACCCTTTTAGACAAATTGTTACCCAATCTTTTCTTAAAAGAGTGATATCTGATTCCTGCCTTTTGCAGTCTACACTACCAAAAAAATATGCTTGCATATTGAAAGCTATGCAAATATAGTCTTCTTTTCTAAATACAATTTTGATTTTTTTTTCTTCTGAAAAATTTTGAGGTTTAAAAATGCTTAATTAAACCTATCTAAAAAGAAATGATTTTGAAATATTTTGCTTACATTTGTAAATGTTTTTGATTTAATGAGAATTTTCTTCCATGTGAATGGAATCTGAGTCTGACACACTGATTTTACGTATTTAGGAATCACTGTGCTCCATCCTATGGCATGTTTGTTTGTTTGTCAGCAACAGAAGTTGTTGCCCTTTTAGGAGTTGTTACAGGGATGAGTATTGGCTGGATATTGTAAGATGTGAATGGATGGATAATTACACTTATTTTGAATGAAGACTTGTATGCTAAACTACCAGAAGAAGAGCCTAGTGTTACACAGATTAGGGAATGGCTTTTGAGGGTTTTTCAACACAGAAGTGGAAAGGAAAAAGACAGCCAGTGGCATTTTTCTCCAAAATGCTAGACCCTACCTGTCAAGGATAAAAGATATTTATATGGAGGTTTGGATTTTGAACATTATTGTGTTGGGGTACTTATATTATAGCCTA